AAATGTTTTTATCGAAGGAAGAAGATTCGTAATTTTGGGTGTTTAAGTGGAAAACTGGGTGAGTAAAACATTGTTTAATAGTTTATTTTTGAGAATTTCATCACTGTTCTGAGTTTCATCATGAATTTCGTTCTGATTTTTTTCTCAGTTCTCTTCAACTCCATATCATGGATTCCAAAATCCGGAAAAATCCAAAATCTGAATCAATCTTGGTCCCGAACATTTCGGATTATGGATACTCAGTCTGTGCTGAGAACAGAATTAGCTCTCATTTAGTTCAGGATGCATTGTATAAATTTAAAACGAAGACACAGAACACATCAGCCATACGTTTCACTGACTCTGGATTTGCTACACCGAAGATATGCATGATGCTCATGTTAAGTAGATCACCGATTTTTCTCCCTTCTAACAGTTGGTTGCACTGGAATGCAAGAGGATACCTCTTAACTATATGGAATTAGAACTTAATATTCGGAATTCATCGACTCACTGTACATTCATTCTGAGGTAGATTCTTTGAAAAGCCAGGGATGCAAAAAAATCATAAACATGGAATTAGAAGAATGTAACTGCTAGGATCAAGCTTCACGAAGTCATAAGCGAAAAGCGTCCGCCTGAGAAACGCAAAATCACTGGACATTCACAATTATTCCCTTGAAAAAGTATGCAAGACGCTCCACTGCGAAAATCGATGTTGAACATCACTGGATAAATGGGCTTTATTTAAGCCACCGGAGATTTGCGGATAGCATCCTGATCGTCTCAAGAGCAATCGAAAAACTCCAAAAAGGAATCCAATAGTTGAACGACGCCAGCATGAAAGTGGAATAGACTGAAAATAAAACTTAGGTTACGCTTACCAAATGACCGCATGACCTACTGAAATGAATGGAATGATTAAAAATAACACAAATGACCTTCAGAAGATTTGAAATATTTTTACACGGGAAACTGCCCCTGTGTTTAAAACGGAAAATGTTCCATGAGTTGTGCTCTCTGTACTATCTTATGGGCGCAAAACTTGAACCTGAAGCTTGAAAGCTACTCAAAAACTGCAGACTACGCAACACAGCATGAAATGGTGCACGTTGGAATAACAAGAAAAGGTAGGAAGACGAATGAATAAATATAAGCACAAAGAATGGTGTGTGTGTGTGTGTGTGTGTGTGTGTGTGTGTGTGTAACACCACTGCCCTGAGTGAAGAAGTAGTTGTTGGACTGGGTTATAAGAAAGTAGGAAAGGCAACTCGATGGGAAGACGAAAATCACAGATTACGAAGGTCTATGGCAAAATCTTGAAGGCCTTCATTCAGCAGTTCATCGACAAAGACTGGTGGTTAAAAATTTCTGCCGCGGTTTAATACCATGCTTAGATTAGAGTTGTTAGATTTAACATTTGACTATCAAAGAGGTTCGAAAGATTGGCAAAGATTTACATCCAAAAAAAGTATCGAAACTAGTGTAATGGAACATATGGATGGCCCAATTCACACGACGTTGTTGTGTTGGTAGCTACACGCACTGGAAATATGCTACAGCATAGGGTGAGCCTTCTGAAGAAATTTGAAGCTGAACGAGGCACTGAAATGAATTTAACTTTCATAACGCACTCAGCTAAATACATTCTAATGTATACATTTAATTTATAGTTATTGTAAATTAAACCTAAATCACTAGTGCGCAGTCACTGTCAAACTGTCAAATTCGAAGCAAGGTCTGTAACGAGACTGTATCTTACGATGGTAAACCACATGTACTAAAGCCCAAGTTTCGTGTAATTATCGTTAATTATTGGGATTCAATCACTCGAATCTAGACACCGCTTTCCACGCACCATTTATTTGTAAAGAAGTGAAATAAGTAGCGCAGCACATCACGATGATTATAATGACAGATGATATCAGATATGTCACTTATTGAGAGAATTAGCTAATCTCGCACTACAGTCAAAAATCTATGAACATCAGTTATAACTAGTAATTAAAAATTTGCACTGTTAATCTTTCGCGACAACAGATCAATGGTTACCGTGATTTGGAGACCAAAAAAATATTTTATTCACAGAAAAAGATAAATTCTTAAAATAACTGAACTCGTGGAAATTAAAGGTCATAATCTATATTATAATGAACAAACAGCTTGAAGAGGCCCTGAGAAGGAGTAAAATTTTCATTCGGTTTGACGACTCCCAGCACCCAATCTGGCGTGTAATGTTCCGTCGGTTGATCGTGTTGGTGGCGAATGCGGCGTTTACATTCAATGGTCCCGCATGAAGAAGACCTTAAATATTCTCCATGAACTACACAAAAGATGGTACTTGGAAAAAGCTACCTGAATTTTTTACATTGTTCAAGCTTTTTTAAACGTTGCGCTGCAAGCTTCAACTTCTGGACAAAGACCGGGGACTCGCTCATTTTCGCCTGAGCGCACGGCAACGCCGAAAGAATCAGAAGCAGGACGACAACTTTCGATATCAACTGTTGCTCGTAATTTTGAAAATGTAAAATCGTATTCGCTAAAACCTCGAACCATCGCGGATAGCTCACAACAGCGGGAAGAGTTTCGTGAAACTAAAGATGTAAAGATATTTACAAACAAAAATAATTACAAATTCAACAGCATACTGTACCTTGGCCAAGTTTATCAGCACTTGTATGACACGCTGTACGACAAACGTCGAAGCAACGCTCCGATTTGACTCTTCAATATAAGTGTAGAGTACAGGGATGGCTCCCTTTAAGACTATCTGTCTGCAGCTGTTGGCAGAAGAGGACGTGGCGATGACTGAAAAATAAAATAAACCAATCGGCGGTTTCTGGGTAAGGGTTAAATAACTTTGTTCCAACATACTTAAATGGTTGATCACGCGATATGAGAAGCTCAGAGGTCGTGCCTCAAGAATTTTCTGTAACGCATAACTCGTCCGCTGGCCAATGGTATTTTCAGGCTGAGCCACAGAGCGCTGAAATTTAATTTTCTTGGAGAGATCTGTCATTTCCGGAGTCGATTTACACCTCACGCAGTAGCCTCTCCAAGCCGCCTAAATTTTCAACGAATCATCATGCAATATGACTGAAAGTTTGCCTCGCAAGAGAGTACCTGAATCTTTATGGCTGCGCAGCGTCTTCGCTCCATTTCGTTCGAGGACATACATTCTGGTTCACAGCTCTGTAACAAACAATGGCATAAATTGCCATATTCTGTTGAACATAATTTAATATAGAAAAAGTGCCCAAGACTGAAGTATGGAAATGTCATTCTGAAGTGAAAGGCAAGAATGAACATTGCAACGATTCAGGATGTATCTCTCTGCTTTCATTCTGGAAACTAAGAGAGAATCGCATCAAACAAAACTCTCTAGCTCTGTAAAAACAGATCTTTATGGAAAATAACCAGGTCTCTCTTGTGTATGCGATAACGGTTAAGTAATTTAAGTACTTCAGAGAAGCATTCAGGTGTAACAGTAGATATGACGTTACAATGAAGATACTGTGCTTAATTAATCGACTTAAACTTAACAACAAACAGAAGTTTAGTGTTCAAACGGCACTTTACTTCGGTCAGCGTGGAAACAGAAGAAGATGTTGGCTCTTTTTCAGACACCGATATTCTGTTTTGAGGAGGGTTCTTTCGCTCGATGCGTTTCAAGAATGATTCATAGCCGGTAATGTGAATCGGCTATAACAAAAGAAAAACAGTAATGTCAAGCAGACATGCAATATTCGTTCTCACGTCTGTTTCGATTGGACTGTCTGCAGATTGGCCGCAAAATCTATCGGCTCGACAGTTGGATAGAATACACGGCAAAGCCTAAAAATCTTTCTTTACCACACTTAGTGTGTTGTTCTGTCTGTTTGTATCGTAGTCATGTGAAACATCAACATCAGCAACATACGTCAACGAACAAATATCAATTGTATTAATAGGACAGAATATGATGGAAATACTACTGAACAATTAACCTATAAAAGATGAGAATATTTTACAAGACCTAGTTACGATAAGTTGATTTGCAAAATGTTCCTCTGCTAAAGCGTTGGTGCACACAAGTAAGATAAACGGCTAAAGTGCATTCATTAGCCGTACGGACGTTCCAACTGAGGCTTTAGTCTGAGAGCATCTGGTATAAATATGATATCGATTTCGTTTAAGATTCCTTAGCCACGAAATATTCGCTCCATCATAAACAACGCCAACAGGGAGCAAACATAAGCGTCATTAACGTCAATAAGGAGATTTCCTTTCCAAAATAAGAAACAGCGTTTACAATCGAAGGTGCCCCGTTTGTATAGCCGCGATGTCACAAATTCAAGACCCACAGCCACTTGCGAAGAGCCCAAACGATGACTATGGCATCTGAACGTTTTATTTTTATAAGTACCAAAGCGTAAGAAAATGCATTCATCATGTAGTCAAAGGATACCTGTTTCAAAGAAACTGACTGAGCAATGGGAGTGGAAGTGAAGTCCATTAAGATCTAAAATCATGATTAATAAATGATCCTCACCAAACATACCTACCGATGGCGTTTCACTTGCATAAGGCACCTCAGAGTTCGAATAAGACACATTGGAAGACTGATTTTGAAGATCCGAAAAATGGCCATTAGAAGGAATCTGAAAGGGGAGGCATTAGACGTAAGCTACAGCAGAGACTGAATTAATAAAATAAAAAATTAGACAAGCTAAAAAAATGCAAACAGCAAAAAATCACGATTCTCGTATGAAGTACTGAAAGGCGAGAACAGTGGGAAAACTACGTAGGGGCTTAATTTTGCAATATGATAAGCAAAAAAGAAAGAAAATTTGCAGTCGCCGAGATGTCATCAACATTATGCCTTTATGACGGGCTTTCATGGAACCTAGAGCGAGACGCTGATTTTCTGCTCAAGCGTGGCACTGACTTCAAAAATAAAGTGACGTTCTTTATTTTAATGTTCAAGGGTATAGCATACAACTCCCTGCCTCATTTCCACAAAGTGATATTTGCTTTTCTCTCACGGAAGGGTGAAAGGCGATGAAAACTGCGAAGTACTCAACAAATTATGACCATTGCAGACAACAAAAGCCAAAACCATTTAGACCCATTTACTGCTTTTTCCATAAGGGCACAGTTCATTAGCAGAATGGTCTTAATGACTACTATACATCCCATTTTATGGCGACCCTTTAAGCTATAGAAGAGTTACGCTGACAAATACCAGTGATCAGTATTCCGGGTCGACCTGCGAAACATCTGGTTGGTCAAGTGGCGCAGGACCATGAAGAGGTCGCAAAATCATGAAGACCCACTGGCCCGTTGACAGTGACGAACATTATAAAAGGGGCTATCTCTGTTTGCCGATACATATGATAACCATATACAACGATATCTATGTGCATATACTGAAACAGACGTTCTCATTATGCAACCACAGCTGGGTTTCACAATTTCAAAAGAAATGGCTTACATATTGAAATAAACGTTCAGGCGGTTTCTTTTCAAAGAAGTAAGTTTTCTACACTACATTTTACTGTTTAAATTTTAAGCATTACATGTGTCCTACAGATTCGTCCAATAAGTAAGTGTAAGAAACACGCGTAGAGTGACGGACGCTCAAGAATTTCCAGCTTCCTTGATTTAATGCAGGGAAATGATAAAAATTCTTATCATGAGAAGATCCTACTTTGACAATTTGGAAATTGACATTTACGTTTATAGAGGTAGTAGACCAGCAGCACTGACTTCGTGGAATTTCGTGCACCGCTGTCCTGACAGACAAATGTGCCGCTTTCTAAGTACGAAGAAAACGTGGTGAAACAGTGTTCATAAAAGAAAAAAACTTACCTTGTGAAGCAGCAAATCGCGATTATCGTTTTCAACAGTAATGCTAAAATGATTATGTTCTCTTTGACGATCAGCATTGACAGTAAAAGACTCCAGATGTTGAGGATGCTAAAAAGCAAACTTAATATCTACTAAAATCATTGATGGTACATGAAACCGTTACTTTAACAAACTCAAAAAGGATCGTACGGTTGATACTACAGGCATTAAGATGGCACCGCTCCCGTGGACTTTCACACAGAGTCGCAACAGAATGGACTTGAGACTTCTTAAATTCATACATACAAATAAACTAGACATTGTCTTGATGAAGAAAGTCAACCTTCATAAAGTTTAAAATCCAAGCGCAACTTTGAACGACTAGATGAGAAAAGCTATACTCGCGTAATGCTTGAACATGGGCTGCAGTAGTAGGCAAATGATCAAGTTTCTTAGAAAGAGGACAGTTGTACAAAGGTACCATGATTTACACCTTACTATAATTTCTTACCTTGATTAATTTGAAATTGTCATTAGAGCTCGTAATACAAAATACACCACTGCAAAGCACCCGTGGATTTTCAAACAGAGTAGTCACGGTATCATGATGATCCGGCTTCTGAAAGAAACATCAAAACAGTTTTAAACGATGAAGGAAATTTTATACAAGCCTTGACAAATTCAGAATCACAGCCGCATTTTGTAATAAAGGTCTTGAAAAGTATCTGTTCGCGTAGCAGTTTTTCTGCTATAGCTCCAAAAGTTTTATGATGCACAGATTTCTAAAAGACGTATAAAATTTTCAGGAAAAAAAATTTATGCCAAGTATTTACTTACAGCTCGAAGTTCTATTGCAACATAAACGTTGTCGAGGAATGTATACGATTCTGCAAGTATGTTCGGTTTTACAGGGAAGGAGAACTGAACTGAAAAAATCTGAGGATTCTGAAAGCAGCACAGTTGAAGCATCGTCCCTGTGCCAGAAGATACAATTCTTACCGCCAAGAAAGATGATATACTTGAAATTTCAGACAAACGAGTCGTAAAGGCTGTGTGGTTCATCACCTTCTGCAAAAGCGCATCTTGCACACTCAAGTGAGGACCCACCTAAAATGATGAAAGAGTCCAACCTTAGACATAGGAGTGCATTAAGCAAACGCAGATATGCGGCAGCTAGCTGCTGCTCAGACTGGCCTGTTCTAAACGCATATC